GCCACTGTGGAAAGTGGGGTCAGGGCCAGCTGGACTTTTGGGCCTCCAAATGAAAATCCCACCCTGGACGCTTGATTCCTCTACAAATTCCCCCTCCCAGACACCTGGGTCCCTTACAAATCCCCTCTAAATGCACAGGGGGACCTCTCCCCATGGACACCTCGGCCTACTGTGGACCCCACCTGGACACCTGGGTTCCCTGCAGTTCTGCACTCCCCAGAACCCTGGGTGCCCTGCGGAACAACCCCCCTGGACCTCTGGGTCCCCTATAGATCCACCCCCTGCCCCAACACCTGGATCCCCTACCTAGCCTCCCTCCCCCACTGGGTGCTTGGGTTCCTCTCCGTCCCCTCCCGCAGACACTCTGGTCCCCTGCGTATCCCTCACCTGCACCTGTGTGTGTGCCTCAGTTTCCCTTATGGCCTCAGGGTCTCCAGGTTCCCTCCCACTCCTCTGAGCCTCTTTTATACTGGCCCCATGTGGGCCCAATGGGCAAGGAGCCAGGAGGAGGGGTAGAGCAGAGAGCAAGGTCCAGCAGATGCGTGGGGGGAGCCAGGCATCCAGGAGGCCCCACTGCCTCTTACGGCCCCTCCAAGGTCATTAGGTAGTCATTAACGAACCATGTGACTGGCTGCGCACGTCCCCTCGGGTGCCCCCTGCCCACGTTGCCTTGGCCCGTGCATTTTGGCCTTGGCCACATGTCCCATGGTGGGCAGGACACCTGGGTGCCCTTGGGTGGCAGGGCAAGACGCCTAGTTCGCTGGGGGACGGGACGGGGCAGGATGCCAGCGTCACCTCTGGAGCAGCTGACAGATGCGCCCGCCCCTCTTGGACGATGTGTTATGTCCACAGCTGCCCCACTGTGTCCTTCAGGAGCTGTGTCCCTTCCCCCTGTGTCCCCTTGCAGTCAAGTTTGTACCCCCAGGGAGTGCCAGGATACATTTTGCCCCACCATTATCTCACATGCTCCTGGCTGCTCCGCTGAGACAGAAACAAGCCAAGAGCCAGCCTGAGCCCATCAAAAATCCACCCCTTTCCCAGTGTCCATCAAGGAGAACCTGGAGGAGGCCCAAGCAGACCAACTCCCCTCCAGAGGGAGAGGCATACAGTGCCCGGGAGAGAGGCGTCACCACCGGGTGTCATGGTCTCCATCCTCCTCTTCAAAGACACGATAGAGTGTGACGGGATGTGGCACACGGAGGATGAGGGAGAAAGTGAAGAGGAGCGGTCAGCCGCCCTTCTTCCACATGAGCGACACCAGGGATTCACCAGCCCCCTTAATGACCCTCCGAGCTCCCACTGGGCACCAACCCCCAGGCACAGTCTGCCTTCCACTGTCCTGGCGTGGGTGGGCAGGGGATGGTGTCCCCAGAATGCTCCGTGCCCGGCCTCTGCCCCGGCCCACTCTCACGCCCGCCTTTCCCGGCAGAGGGGAGGGATGCCCGGCCCGTGTGGCCGGTGCCGTGGGTGCGCTGCGTACCGGAAACACACGGCCCCGATTTTTCACGGTTTCATTTTTGCTTAGGAGGTCTTCTCATTTCTTCCTTCTTCCCGCCCTTAAATCCCGCCCTTAAATCCCGCCGTGGGCACGGCCTCCTCCCGCTCCT